ATTTCGTAAAAATAATTCACCTTGGAAACGCATTAATAATTTTCCATTTTAGCGCCCGTTTACTTTGTTATCGACGACACTCGACGACGTTTCATTTTGTTTATTCGCAGCATTTTAGCCGCTGCAAATTATTATAATTATTCGCATATAAAGTTTTACTTACGTTGCATGGCGTGCATGAAAGGGACAACGGTTTGAATTACAACGTGACGAAACTTACTGCCGCCTAATTACCTATGTAATACCCCTAATTGTCTCGCTGCAAAGAATCGTTAGTCTTGGTTCAAACGAGGCCGTATTCATTAGCTTTTTTATCTACGTAATCATCGGAATTTACCTCCGTGCGCCGCACGACACGACGGAAATGCGAATTCATGGGACAGACCCTTCATTTGAAAAAAAAAAGAACGCATGTCGCTAATTACACCGATCTCATCAATTTGCACCGTTCCCAGAACACGATGTTTTCGTATCGTCGTGAGCCTTAACACAACTGTAACTCTTTTCAAAATTTAAAAAAAAATCAAGTTAAAATATATTATGAAATTTTTTTGCAAACTCTCGTGAATTCGTAAAATACGAATTTGTAATAATCGAAGACGCAAATAAATAAATTTTCTTTTTTCCGTTAATTTTATATACGATTTCAAAATCACCACGTTCGCCGCTCCTCGCGTTTTCATTACTTTATTTTGCGAGCGAGAAAGAGCGCATCGCTGTATCTTCACACGAGCAAACCGTAATTATTACAATCGTCCGACCGATCGGCCGAAAGATTAAAATTCCTGCGCCACCGAAGCGCGTTCTTGCGCGCTTATCTTCTGGCAAAAACGAAAACGGTTTCTTTCATTAAAGAGGCGGCGGAATCAAAAGTTTCTTCGCGTTCTTCGCGTATAAAACGCGTATCGACCGACTGGTTACACTCGTACACAAACAACCGTCCGTTTAATGTTAATCGTCACCATTCGCCACACAAAATAGCCGCACGGTGACCGATTTGCGACGACGACGACTTTCCGCAAAGCGAGATTACTCGTTCCTCGACTCACTTGCCCACTGTTAGAATCAGCTTTCCAATTATCAACGGACGTGCAGAGATATTAAAAACTGACGTTACGACACGTTATTATCCAACAGAAGTGACGCAGTTGGCGCTTCGTACTGAGTGTAGAGAAAATTGCACGGAAGTCGATAAGCTGCCAATCGCGATCGGCGCGACGTGCAGACGACGTTCGCCAAGGAATGACAACTGTAACTCTGTAACTTTTCGCAGATATATTCGCGCGCGAACGATATAACTATGTGACGATAAATTCATCGTGCAATTAAGTTTATTTATTAATCGGAGCGTGAGAAATGAGGATATACACAGTGTTGTATTTTTAAATTAATATGTATATATATATATATATGTGTATGTATATATATATATATATATATATATATATATATATAAATTCTTAATCACGTGGATTTTGCGGAGGGACTTCGATGACGGGGCAAGATTGGGAACGGAGTCGGGGCGCAAGATAAAGAATCTAAGGAGTGTACAATATACAATACAAGTCACGGAATATCACGATTCTCGTGTTAAGAAGTTAGATCCGCTTTTGACGCGCCTGGCCACGCGCTGGGCCGTTCGTTCTTTTCCTCGTTTGCTTTTCCGCTTCTTATAATTCTTTTTTTTTTTTCTTTTATTGCTTTTTCCATTTTCTCGTCGACGATGAAGCTCGCGTCACTTCGAGCGTCACGACTGTGCGTACGCCCCGGAGGAAGCCACGAAGGTTATGCGAGGGGTTGAGCAAATTCCCGAAGATTCGAGGGAACTGAGAACGCGATTCTTTGATCGGGCGAGAGTCATAGCTGTATTAAAATTCCAATTGATAAATTCATCATCAAGTGTCATCCATCGTGTACGTAAACGAATCGCAGAAATTGAAGGAGCAAGATGGACGAAGAAAATATCTGATGTAATAACGCCTCGTTGACTACAGGTATTAGCGTTAAATTAATATATTCGCATTAATGTGACTTAATATTGTACACGGACTCTTCGTATCCACAGGCTAACTTCACTAAAAACCATCACAGCACTAAATTGATAATACGCTTTACGTATCGATATACGTATGATACAATAGGGAGTAACATTTATCCATACAAATAACTTAACGTGCGTAAGAAGTGAGACAAGCCTTCTTCATCCACTTGCCTGTTCAATTGTGTATCTGTACATATCGATCAGTTTCTACTTTTGCACCGGAACATTGACTCGTTTTCACATTCAGCGCTAAACGCGATCAATTTCCGATCTTACGTTCGCATCGATTGTACTTTCCGTGTAAACCAAATTTCAAGACCGAGGGAACCGCATTTAACGCTGAACGTAAACAGGTTGGAATAAAGTAAACGTATATACATTCGCCGAACATATCTGTGAACAGGGTTCGTTAAAATCAACACGCGTAAACGAATCAAGAGCTCTGTGTGGTCGGTAACAAGTAAATAAAGTAATAAGGATTTGTGAAAAATATTTACCTCCCCGTTTCTTTTCTTTTTCTTTTTCTTTTTTTTTTTTTTTTTGGAGGCGACTTTGTTATCACTGTGACAAGTTCTTCGATCAACATATGAATTAAACAAAAGAACCTTTCTGTCTACCAAATTATAGATTTCTGATTCTTAAAATATGAAATAACAATTGTCGGACTCGTTATTCAACAACGCGACCCTGAAGCAAACTCCGATTTTCGAAACGTTCATCTCGAAAATCTTCGTCGCAAATTTTTCACTGGGCCGAGATGCACCAATAGTGATTTTTGCTCGTAGAAGTCTTGGCCGACCGCAGTATTTTGTTAGAACAGCCGAACCGATTAGTTTCATTCGCGATAGTTTCATTCACAGCTCTGCTCGATTATTGCTTTCGGATTTCAGATCACTTTGCTCCCTTGTAATCGATTCGGATGTATGGACATATTACAACGACGATGTATGCTAGCCGGCTTAACGGGTATCGCAAAATGGAACAAAGCTGATTAGGATTTCCAAAAGTCGATGTGTGTAATATATGTATCTCTCTCGTTTCATATTCAAATATATTAGATGTTTAATAATTGACACGTTATATTATATCTTATTCACATTTTTACATAAATTATATTTAAATAAAGTAAGAAAACCGATGTTAATTAGCCGTCTGCTGTATATTAATAGTAAGAATTTTGAAATATTTCAGCCGGACAAGTACCTTATTAAGGTAAATGCCAGCCGCATGAAATTGTGATTATTTTTACATATTATTCACAATGATATTAACAATGATTCGGTCCGATGAATGTTCATTTCGTTTAGACCGCCGTTAACTTACCTTCCTTTGGCAATTATGCAATTCGTGAAAAACGGCAACGGCCGATTACTCAAAACGAGAGATTGACTTAGGAGATCCACTCTTTCCTCAATCTTTTCCATTTTACGATACTCGACGGTAAGATCGAAAACGCGCAGAGGAGACGTGACAGCGATTAGTCGAATTACGACGGGATCGCTTGGAATATACGAACGAGAAGCCGATCGTCGATTGCACAACGAGATGATCGACGTTAACGCCTAACGCGCGCATGGCGCTGAGCTATCCAGTCGATCTTCCGATCGTCGCCGGATCACCGGCCGGATCGCGTAGCGTGCGGACGTGCGATGCATTCACATTGTCGCGGTGCGTACAAACGATAACGGCCTCCCATTCCCGGACATCACGGGAATCCCATTCTCGGACGTTCTCTTAAAAACGAGAAGGAAAAAGAAACCAGAGTCACGCTACGTTCTCCCGCGGACAGCGCGCGATTTCGCCTTAAATCACCGTTATCTCCCATCCCGGACATCAGATTTTTCTCTTTAGACCACCTCTATTCTGTATTACGTACGTGTAGCATTTGCGATAGCGTTTTTCTCCCTCTGCTCCCTAAGGTGACTCGCGCGAGTTGATCGTGAGTTTATTCGACGTTCTATTACACTTCGTTTAATAATTATTATTTACACCGCGCGCGCGATCGCTATTATTTATACAAATTGCAGACCGACTCGGAGTTTTGACTCGGCGCGGTGGGATCCCGGTTCTTCGTTACTTATCGACAATCGAGTCTTGAGCGATTATTAAAAATTAAAATTTTCGATTTTAATTTCGTCAATTAAAAAAAAGAAAATTATAAGGGAAAATAATTTTTGACACATCATCTCTTTATAATTATGAAGTAGAAGGATAAGTAAAAGCAACGGATCAATCTACAAATTTCAAAATTTAATTTCGTAAAGTCGTGAGAAAGATTGTAGAAAGTGACGCACACGTAAATCTTCTTTCTCCTTGTAAAAAAGTAAGGAGAGGTAAAATACGTGAGATTGTCGATAATAACATCCGAGTAAAATCTGATCGTTCCGAAGGAAAACCTGGTCGCTCACCGCGACCGTCCACCATTCGACCGACGGCTTTTCCTTAGAGATGGCTTTCCGCACGCTTAAAGGACGCGAGTCTCCAGGCGACGTGGAATTTCGAGAACGAGAGGATTGGAGAGTGGCATTGCTCTCTGGTGATCCAATTCGCGGTTTATGCCGCGCCGCGCTTTCTCTGGATCGTCGACTCGGGTCCTCGGTTCTTCGGATTTGGAATTTCTTTTTTGCGTTTCTTTTCTTTGCGTTTTCGAGGCATAAATCGGACAGCGTGCGTTTATGCGTTTACATCTCTCTAATCGTTATAATATAATAATATATTTAATAATTAGTACAGAGAGAGTAGATGTTATTTATATTTATAATATAATATTTATATATAATATAATATATATAATATAATATATATATATATAATATCACTAGGGTACATATGTACAGGGACTGCAAATAGTAGGAGGTGCTTCTTATATTGCAATATCGTTCTCTGTTGTCTTCTCTTAAGACCTAACGTACACAGGTAGAACGTAGACTCACACGGGACACAGGTACGCGCTCGTAGATTTTTTTTCTCTTTCTCTCCCTCTCTCACACTCATTTTTCCTTCTATTCGCATTCACTCGCTCTTTCGTTTCGTCTAATTTACAATAACGCGCGATCGGCGCAGCGTCCGTCGAGAGTCCAACGCATCCCCGAGTCTTGCGGTCCTTCAACAGAGACGCATACTCCTAACGCGCGCGCGCCGCGTAAATCTATTTACAGAGATACAGGAAACAACGCGGGGGGACTCTCGTTCCGTCCCGAAAGCACGAAGGGCGCCGCTCGCGCCCGCGAGCGGGAACTCCTCGAGCGCGGCGCCGCTCCGGAAATAAAATTGCACTTTGTAGTATGAGAGTCTGGCCTTCCCCGCTTCCGTACGACGCGGCCAGAATCCCCGTATAGGAGGAAACAGGGTGAATCGAATGCCGATCAGCCGACGTTCCTGCCGCTACGACGGCTCCGACGTGGAGTCCGGCTCTCTCTCGTCGGCGGAGAAGTCCTCCGGGTCGCCACCGGACTCGTCGGTGCAGTCCTCGTCCTCGTCCTCAGGATCGTCGTCCTTCGTGCTACTCACAGGCTCGTTCTCCTGTCACGGACTCCCTCCGCCGGCATCGTCGCCCCGATGTCCGGGTGTCAAACTCGGACTTCTCCTTCTCTTCTCCTGCAGCCCGTTCACCATGTTCTCGATGGACTTTAGCTCGCCGGCGGAGCTGGGCGTCGTCGAGGTGAGCGCGCCGCCACCGGTGGGCGTCGGCGAGTCGGTTGGCGGCCTCGGCGGTGGTGATCTCGGACTCAGGGTCCTGCTACCAGGGGTCACGGTTTCAAAAGCGGAGCCGTGCGAAGGAGCCGGAAGCGTGTAGGGCGCGAATCTATGCCCCTTGAGCTGGTGCAGGGGACTCGCCAGAGGATGAGGATAGTGCGCGAAGAGCGCCGGATGCTGGGTGGCCGCCAGGGCCAGTTGGGCATTGAACAACATACCGGGCGTAACCCCGCCATGGAGTCCCAAGGGAGTGGGTGGTATCAGGGGGCCGGGAC